GAGGTACAGCGATCACTGACACCACTGTATCAGAGAGGTCAAAGAAAAGAGACTAAACAGATGAAAATCAGACAAAGACTGACGAAAAAATGTGTTTCTGAGAAAGATTATAAACAAAAGACCTCTTATTTCTAAAAATCTTCTTTAAAAATACTCCTGCCAAAACAAAACCTCCTTTGCATTACAAAGCAGAAACACATAGTTTCATATGATAGCAAAGATCACCACTTAGGAAAAAAAAAAAAAAGCCACAAAAAGGAGCACAAAATAGTATTTATGTAAGAACTACATTTTCTGCAGCAGTTTTTTTGTATCCTTGCTTGACTTCCCTACCATTCTTTCTATAGAGGTCACTAATCACTTCAATTACTGGGAAACATTAGCAGTGTGTTTACTTCATACGTCATAAAATGACTTTTATATAAAACTTATCTTTTTAATACTTCACATAACACTATATATTAACATAACAAAATATTATGTTTTTATTTGCTCCAAGTGCCATTTCCACAGCTATCATATTTATCATACAGCATAAAAGATATTTTCTCTATGAAAAAAGCATAAAATCTGGAGTCTATCACTACAATATATTATTGTTAAATACTGTAAAAAAAAAAAAAAAAAAAGATAAGAATGTAAAACCAAATCTTCCCCATACAGTTTATTTATATGTAACACTAAAGGAAGCAACTGCAAGACAGTAAAATACTATGCAACACACTCCATCTACTGGCAAAATAGAGCAGTAGGACCAAGTTTTACTACACAGCATCCCAGTAATTAAAGAGATGCTAACGTTTTATGTGAGAACAGGTACCTAAACCACTGATCAATGATTAGTTTACCAGACACACCAAACTGCACACTGCTGGTAGTTTCCTTCCACACATGTACGTACAAAGGAGAAACGAGACTTTACTCATTGGTGCCCAGTGACAAGAGGTAATGGGCACAGACTGAAATACAAGACATTCAATTCAAAATTATCAAAAAAAAGAAATTATTGTGAGAGTGGCCAAGCATTAGAAAGGGTTTCCCAGGCATGTCGCAGAGCCTCCATTTCTTGGAGATATTCAAAACACAACTAGACACAGCTTTGAGCAACCAGCTCTGGAGCACGGGAGTAAGACGAGATGATCGCCAGAAATTCCTTCCAACCCCAGCAACTTTGTGGTTCTGTGATCACACAACTACTTATATCAGGCTTTTCACCTATGTCCCATTCTAAGTTCCCAGCAGAACACTTGCACTTTTCTCAAAACAGAGTCAATACGGAAATATTTTAAATTATCTGTGGCAGAATTGTCCCAAATAGATTTTTCTGCAGCTTCTAGTAATGCAATATTTTTAAAACTCATCTATAGTGTGATACAGCACGCACCACAGGTGTACCTTCAACAAGGGAAATGGAAATTGTAGATTAAATCTAACTCAGGAACACATCTCACCGTACCTTCTAACAGAACAACCATTTTGTGCCAAATTTCTGATAGCCCATCTGGTCTAATCAATTTTTTTTAAAAAGTAAAGTACAATAGAAAAAATTATATAAATCACAAAATAAGAGGTAACTAAAAAACTAAATAAAGTTTCATAAAAAATACCCTCAGAAAATAAATCAACACATGATAAACTAGCTCTCATACTCTACTGTACTAGCCCTGAACAGTAAACAGGGCTTTAAACTGGGGAAGGATGCTGCACTGTCTGTAGCCCACTCTGGTTTTAGAGAAGATGCTTAGCAGTAATTTCCTTTAGTGTTCTCAAGTGTTTCATCTGAATTGACCTTTTTGCAGCTATTTTCTAAAATACTGTAAACAAAGCTCCTAAAAAATTAATTTAATCAGGAAAATAATGTTATGATTGGCTATTTTTTTTCCTTAGATTTACCTATGGAAAAAAAAATTAATTCAAGTTCAAATAGCAGAAAAAAATGGAAGATTTTTCAGAATTATTAATTAGAAAGTACAGTTTTTATGCTGTGTAATTAATTTTCCTTGTTACTCTGCTTGTGTAATACATTTTAGTCTTCAAAAAAAATCTTAGTTCTTGACAATAAAAAAATTTCCAGAAATTTCTGTTCAAAAATCCCTTCTCTAAACTTGTTTCTTCCATTTATACAATCACAGTCCACCATATAATTTGCTGCTATACGAGCTCCCTACAATCTGCTAAGTTTTGCTCTCTCTTTACTCCAGCTCCTTCCTCCAAACACCCCTCTAAGACTGTACCTCTTCCTAGTTTCTATTCTCTACTCAACTTACTGCATCAGTCTTTAGGTGTGCCCATGTACTACTCAAACTCCTTCTGCAGGTTTCTGACTGCTCATCAATTCTTGGTTCTCTCTCTTGATTACCAGATGCATCACATCACTCCTGGACTAGCTACCTTTCCCAGACTCAGCCTTAAAAGGCAAATTTTCATTTGATCATAATCCCAAACACCGCTAAGTCACAAATTTTCTTGCCTTTCAACCTCAATCACCAAAATACTAGCAGGAACGGTGACTTAACACTAACTTGGGGTTTTTTGGGTTTTTTTACAAGGAGAAACACTGGCAGTTTCCTTCAGTCAATGGCTCTAGTTTTCAAACATCTGCCACTGCATCCACAAAAATAGGAGAAGAAAGCAGAGGTACTAGAGCTTCTTTTTATACAATTCACCAGTAATGGCTCGCTCTCTTCCCAAGAGACATGCGGCTCAGAGGTCTGCAAACCCTACTGTCTGCTGTACAGTATGCAAAGCCCCGAAAGTGCTCTGTGTATCAGCCAAAGTGAGAATCCCCATCCTGGATTTCACTGGAAACTAAAAAAAAATTTGAGAATCCTTTCCCTCCTCTCTCTGTTTTTGCACAAGCTGCCAAATGAATAAAGAACAGCTTGGATCCACATCATCAATTTATTATGTAACAATTTATTCAAGCCATAACTCTGTACGATTGACTGTAATTCCTTTAACGGAAGAAATTACACCTTCAGGAAATAAAACCATACACTTCTAATTAATTAAACTATTTGACATCAACACTATCATTCATATATAAACAATGTTCATCTCTGGGCAGTTATCAACATGCCTAGAAAACTCTTTTCTCATCAAAGAAGAGCACCATGAAGGAAAGCACAAAGACCAATGAAAATCTGTCAGCTCCAATCTATCAGTTTGCCTATTAAGCAATAATTGATAATGCTATTAATAATCTATTAATAATAGATTCCACATCTTAGCAGGAAAGTCATACACAGCTATCAGCGTATCCCTCAGACTCACCTTTTCGTACCGTTTTGTAACAATAATATCTGTTGTGTATTTACCCATTCTAATCAACTTACCTCCTGAAAATAATTAGCAGTACCTCTGATTACCTCACCAAAGTTAAACAGCCATTCCTCACAAATCTGGAGATTTTGATCAATTAATCAGACAAATCCAGTAGGTTGCACCGAGAGTATCGTAACATCCTCTGATAACCACAGAATCACAGAACGGTTTGGGTTGGAAGGACCTTAAAGATCATCTAGTTCCAACCCCCTGCCATGGGCAGGAACACCTCCCACTAGCCCAGGTTGCTCAAAGCCTCATCCAGCCTGGCCTTGAACCCCTCCAGGGATGGGGCATCCACAGCTTCTCTGGGCAACCTGGGACACTGCCTCACCACCCTCACAGGGAAAAATTTCTTCCCAATGTCTAGTCTAAATCTACCCTCTTTCAGCTTACACCCGTTACCTCTTGTCCTCTCACTACACTCCCTGATAAAGAGTGCCTCCCCATCTCTCCTGTAGGTACTAACCTAATGTGTACTAACTATTAAAAACCAGGTGCCATAAATGAAAACAGTTAAATTTATAATCTCTTTTCTAGCTTTTAGCATGGGAACTGTATGTACTGAAGATAGGAAGTGAATAACTATAGTGCACGTGAGAGTATGAAGCAGTGTGTAGGTACGTACCTGTGTATACACACACAGAGTAAACAAATCTTAACTCTTATCAAACATAAAAGTCATCTTCTCACTAGATCAGAGTTGTCTTATACTGTAAACAGTCTTTTACAAATAAAAATGTAAAACAGTTATTCTCAATCACAAAACCAAATATCCTGCTTCTTTACAACTTCTTAGGCAGAGATTTCATGTAGTCAGAAAAAGAGCATTTCCTGAAGTTCCATGTGTTTCACGCCCTAAAATTACTTCTGGAAATAATCAAGTAAACAGTAGTAGAGACACATTTGAAATGTTTGCCATTGGAAGTACTTCTAATTTTGCAGAATTACCACCCAAGGTACTTACACGCACATTTATTTGCAGAGTTGGGCCATACCGCCATTGTAGGTTTTTGTTTGTTCCGAAAAGCCTCTTCAACTCTAGCTTCTGTTTTCCGTACAGTGGAACCATGAGGATTTATTTGTTCTGCTGTTACTGATAAGCCTGCATACAGAAGATAACCATACCTATTTAAATAAAACAAGCTGCATAAAACTATTGAATTTAAAAAGAAACTTGAAATATCATGCTACAATAAGAACACCAATTAATATTTAGCTGGACATTGAAAACAAAGATGAGAATCAAGATTATTCCTTTTCTACTGACAAATAACTTACTGGTTGCACGATCTTAACTGTCAGCTCTGAATGCTTAGAAAAATATGACTGTCTCTCACACTTGGGTCCCCAAAGATTGTACTCTCTTATCCGTATTTGCTCTATAAAGCAAATTCTTATTGACAGTTTCAATTTTTCTTAATTTTAAACAGATTGTGGCAATTCATAACGGCATTGTATGCCATATCAAAAAGAGTGTCTTAATTAAGTCAATATGAGCTCTTCGATTAAGAAAATGTGATTCTGCTTTTAATAAAAAGTCCAGTTTGCTCTCTGTAATATAAGTTCATCTCATAGCTTCTACTATTTCATAGGGTTTTTAATTAAATTCTAAAAATATAAACTTTCATATTGGTTAAGCACATTTTAAAGATATAAACAGATCTCTGAAGTTTCATATAACTAGAATTTCCTATCCATCCACTGTAACACTCTTCAAAATGTCACACCATGTCTCCAGTAGTAACCAGAACCCAGTGATCAAGAGCTGACAAGAAGCTCTAGAACCGATGGGTGCAGAAATGAAAAGATTCCCAAAGGAACTCTCACCTAACAGTTACAGCATAACTTTCTAGGTACCATTACAAATATTTTAAACTGTATATCAAACGTATTTAATTACTCAAAACATCCACCACTTCTACCTTGTTATCTGCTGGTTTCAACAAGAAGCTGCAAATTCCAATAATCCAGGATATATTGTTCTTAGTTAACCAACTTAGAATTTGTTATCCTTAAATTTATCTTTCAACAGCACCTCATTTCAGTAATACAAGAACAAGAAATTCTAGCTTAACTTCTAGATACTGATTTTATTATACAGTTTATTATTCTGTTACACTGCAGTACTTCTTTTGAGATTGGTCACCAGTCTCAGTACTAAATAAAAATGTCATATCTGTCAAAAAAAAAAAAAAAAAAAAAAAACAAACAGACAAGTTGTGGAAAAAGAAGTAATGTAGAAAATACCTTCCATTTTAAAACTATGTAAGATTGCTAAATTGTTGCCACGAGAATTGTGGAGAAAATGGATACAGAGCTTTTTAGCCTTAACCCTCATCTTCAGTATCTGGGAAATAAATTAAGAGTTAATATATGACACAATTCAGAAGATCAATGGCTTTTCAACTCGGTAAAGATTAAAAAGCCTGAAGTATGTCTCACTTGTCTTCCAGCCTCCTCTGTGATTCCAGACAGAAACACTTGATAACATTTCCAGAGAATCTATTAGAAACCTCATGCAGATCAGCTTGCTCGATTACATCCAAATCGCACGTTGAAGGTTGAAGTCCTTCCAAATGTGGCCAAGATCTAACCAAGTATGGGGCACATTCTTTTTGTCAGAATACAAATTTCCTTTCCGATGGCCACAGCCACCTACTCTGACTCAATCTGTGACTGCAACACCACCTTGGCCTCTTCTGAGCAGGTATTAATACAAGTTTCATATTCAGTCCAGCAACCACTAGTAGATGTGCTTCACCTGGACCTTTTGCCACAGTCCCACTGTTTGCATCATTGCCTTTTTTCCCCAAGAGTGCTGTTGGCAAGCTAAGAATTTTAACTCTGGTAAGGCTTGAAGGCAGGATCCTTTATCGAGCTGAGTCCAGACATACACGCAGAGAAATGTGGACACTGAATGGTGGGTTCTTCCCCTGTCAGAGTATATACAGGCCCAGTCTGGCACTTTTAAAGAAAGATTAAAAGAGAAGCTTCGGGTTCTCAGAGCTGAAGAAGAGCTTGCTGTGCGTCATACCGTAAAGGCCACTCACTGTGACTTGATTTTCAACATTCATTTAACACCTTGCTTAGACATGTCTTGTCGACATTAAAGAAAAAAAAAAGTACTTCAGGGTCCAGTTCCCCACCACTTGGTCTCATACATTGGTCAAGGCGCAAGGCTGGCTGCCCCATTCAGCATGATTTCATCAGATAGCTCCCCTCAGGCAAACTACCCTTACATTTAAGTGGCCAGTTGCACAAAGCTTTTGGACAGCAAAAGGTATAGTTTACACTGCTTACAGAGTTTTCCTCAAGTATTTCCTTACTGAAACATTCAAATATTTCAAAATATACTCTATTATTAAGCAGAGGGAAAGGAGAAGGATCTGGGGATCACTTCTCTACCTGACGATCTGGTAACCAATCCAAAGAAGAAACAAGAAATCCCTTAATAACCTTGTGGACATCCAATCAAAAGAAGAAAATGCAAGTATATGCCTTTGTCATCCCTTGTCCAAAACATTGCAAAAGAGGGTACATGCCAAAGTCTAGACCAACAGATGCATTGTGATTTTGCTGATCTGCTGTCCCGCTGAGCATGCTCTGTAGAGCAAAACAGGAGGAACAATGGCAAGGTTGATCAGCATTCACATCCCTTCCATGTGCCAAGTGCCAAGACTACATGTCTGAAGCACCATCTTCTTGATGTTCTACACAACAATCTTTGACACAACTCCTGACCCAGGGACAGGACAATCTCTTGTGTTTGCCTTACAGTATATGAGGCTTCCTCAGACCTCAAGAGCTTGATATATTTTCTTTCGTCCATAACCAGCTAATCTAACAAAGCTTCTTCCATGCATTCCAAATCTTCTGTCCTTGCTAATCCCATAAGTGATCTTAGCCTTCCACACTCTTCAACTGGACCAACTGCAGAGCTCATTTGCTCTTGAAACCACCACAATGTGGTCCACATACACAATGTGTAATGTGACTTGCAGGTACCTGTGACACTGCACTAGTTTCCATGCCAATGCCTACAACACACTTTGAAAACTCTCCGCTGTTGTATGTGAGCTGTTGACACAAACGGGTGCTGCTAGCCACCTACCTATACCTGATGGTCCACTAACCAGTATCTGACACGAATTGTATCTTCTTCTTCTGATTTAACAAGTTCATTGCATTACATCATTAGCCTTAATTATGAGTTCTGAAAACCTACCTCTTTCAACAGGGTCTGCAGGTTTTGCCCACAGAAATATATATTACTTGGTCACTGCCACAAAAAGAAGGGCAGCGTTCCAGTTAGCTCTTGGGAGACTTGCAAGGAGGGACTTACAAGCTATAGAGTAACTCCCTGTAACAAACAGCTCTTACAAACAGTTACTTTAACCTGGGAAGCAATAACCTTTAACAATCATGGGGGACTCATAACGGATAATTAACCGAGCATAGCTCTCAGCATGACACCAAGGCCAGAACTGTGAATATTCTTACGCTTCTAATAGAAAAGTACAGAGGAGAAATAAAGGCATTATATTAGTTCTATTTTATAACCACAGTGAATTACAATCGGTTCTCTTATTCACAATTCAAGACACACATTGTACAGAATTAGACAAAAAAATGCATGACTGAATGGGAAAATAAAAGGAACTGTCTCTGCTTTAACCTGAAGAACAGAAAGCCTACAGATACTTGCATAGTTCAAAGACATTTATTAATAAAGGGTCTTCAATCTACTGAAAGAAGTATTTCAAGAACCAGCAGTTATAAGTTAAGACCAGAAATGAGAAAGTCTCATTCTCCCTAATCATAACTGTTATTACACTGCATTACATAGCATTTTCTAGCATCACACATTCCTGTGTGATCTGATCTAGGTGTCCTGCTCCGGCAGGGGGACTGGACTAGATGATCTTTCAAGGTCCCTTCCAGTCTCTAACATTCTGCAATTCTGTGATTTAGCATACAGCACTGGTTTCACCACATCTTCACCAATCCCAATACTTGTCTCTTCACCATGTTCTGTAATACGTTTTGTACCAACAGGCAATGCATCCTTCTTTTGTAAAGAATGACAGTGCCTTATTGGACCAGCTCACGTAGCTGGAAAAAGTCGACAAGTTTCAAGATCACTCATCCTTTAACATGCACTGCCAGAGCCTGACATGCGTTCTATATTTCATCTTAAATTTAATTTTTTACATGGACATTTGTAAATTCTGTTTTATATGCCATATATGTTGTGTTATGATAAATGAAGTTAAACATACCTCTTTTTCTTCTCGCTTCCTTGATTTCTTCACACATCTTATTAAATTCTGGATCCAGTTCAGCAGCAATGATAGCATGAGCGGTGTCCTTCAAAGTACAAGCTCTATGTCTAATTATTTTGTCTAGAAAACAGGACAGCACACTTGTTAACTTCACCACAATTAGGTACATTCTTACCATTTCTATGTTGTTCTGTATTGCATATTACAGCACTGATACAGACAAAAGTAACTGGGAAATACTACAAATGTCTGAAAATGTCGATGGATCAATACCATAGCATGCTCAAAAATCACAACCCAGCTATTTAGGAGATACAGGAGCTTTCAGAAGTACAAATTGTTACTTTAGTCAATAGTGACATTTATAAACAAATACAAACAGTGAATGATGAACACACCTAAATCAACTTGCAATCCTTAGAACTTGCTAGAATCAGCAGATCTACACAGGATAATGGAGTACAGTGCAGAGAGTACCAAAAGTAACGAAAGACTTGTCCAGGAATGAATTTATCCACTGCGTTCTAGGAACATTCATATAATTACACTGCCTGCAAAATCATACTGGATGTCTCCTGAATTTGCAAGGTAGACCTGGCTTGCTTACATTCCTCTCCTGTTTTATTTTATTTTGGTTTTGGGGGTTTTTTTTTGGTTGCCCC